CCTAAACGCCTAAACCCTAAGCCCTTAACCCTCAAACCCCTAAACCCTTAAACCCCATAAACCCTAAACCCCTAAACCCTTAAACCCCTTAATTCCAAAACTCTAAACCCCTAAACTCCTAAAACTCCTAAACCCCCAAGTCCCCAAACCCCCAAGTCCCCAAACCCTTAAACCCTAAACCCCTAAAGCCCTAAACCCCTAAACTCCTAAAACTCCTAAACCCCTGAACTCTTAAACCCTTAAACCTCTCAACCCTTAAACCCCTAAACTCCTAAAACTCCTAAACCCCTAAACCCCAAACCCCCAAACCCCAAACCCTTAAACCCCTACACTCCTAAACCCCTCAACTCCTAACCCCCAAGTCCCCAAACCCTAAACCCCTAAACCCCTAAACCCCTAAACCCCAAACCCCCAAGTCCCCAAACCCTAAACCCCTGAACTCCTAAAACTCCTAAACCCCTAAACCCCAAAAACGCCCAAGTCCCCAAACCCCCAAGTCCCCAAACTCTAAACCCCTAAACTCCTAAAACTCCTACACCCCTAAACCCTTAAACCCCTACACTCCTAAACCCCTCAACCCCCAAACCCCAAACCCTAAACCCTCAGCCGCAGGCTCCTGGAACCCTCGGAGCCCAGAAGCTCGTGGAAGCCGCTGCGCCCCGACGGCTAAGACTTTTTGGGTTTAGGGGGATAGGGTCCCTTTAAAGGATCCCCAGAATGGTATCGGCAATTATTTAGGTACGGTTTGGGGTTCAGGGTTTAGGGTTTGGGGTTTAGGGGTTTAGGGTTTAGGGTTTAGGGTTTAGGGTCCTAAGTCGTTTAGGGTTTGGGTTTAGGGGTTTAGGGTTTAGGGTTTAGGGTCCTAAGTCGTTTAGGGTTTGGGGGTTTAGGGGTTTTAGGGGTAATATATAAGGGGGATAGGGTCCCTTTAAAGGATCCCCAGAATTGTATCGGTAATTATTTAGGCCCCGAAAGCCAAGACTTTTTTGTGTAATATTGGGGCCTAAATCATTTAGGGTTTAGGGTTTAGGGTTTAGGGTATTTTATGCAGTAGAAGCCAGAAAGTTGGAACATCATTGTCCTCATGCCCTGTAAGGTAAAGTAGAAGGCATCCTAGCACAAATCCTCCCAAACCCACGTTCCAACGTTCTGGCTTCTACTTTGGGGCCTAAATGGTTTAGGGTTTGGGGTTTAGGGTTTAGGGTCCTAAACTGCCTATACTGTTTTGGGGGGGTTCCTTATTAACTTACTACACTTATAGGATACTGGGCCCCAAAACCCCCATTCTAGCTATTAAGATCCCTATATCAGGACTTTTGGTGGAGGGTTTAGGGCTTGCAGGGTCCAGGGTTTCTGAAAATCAGATCTTCAAGGGCTCAGGGCTTCCATAGCTTAGTGGCTGAGTAGGTAAGCTTTAACCTTTGGGGGGTTGATAAAAAGCTACCATCATTGAAAAGGTTAACCATTTTTGGGCTAGGGTACTCAGCCCCTAAGATAGGGTTTAGGGCTTGAAGGGTTAAGGGTTT